CGTCACTGAAACAACAGGAACACACACCTGTAAACCTTGATTAGAGGTAGACAAACCTTTACCGTTCAGTTGAAGCAGATTATTCATGTGGAATATTCACACAGATTAAACAGGTTTAGCATTTACCAAACCTACTCCAGCTGTTTGAAGAAAAAGTTCAAATCACATTTGAATTGAATTAGGAAGAAATCGTATCTTCAAACAGATATTTTATTGTTTCACATTCTCTACAGACTATTTTATTGTCACATGGAGATGTCCTTAGGCAATGAAGTAGCATAACTAACCATGTTGAATGCCATGAATATAAAGGCATAACAGGCATATCAGTTCAGTACAACCTGCAATGAAACTTCTATGTATTTATTTGTACTTCAAATAAAGTGTGTTATTTTGCAATCATTATGTCATGATAGATTTTGACAAAAAGCCCTTTACCAAGCATGGAACAAAACCTTTTCACATTGACATTCAGTTGTGCAAACCATAGTGACAAATGTGCAATTAAACAACATCTAAACACAGCTCTTAAGGCTTTAGACAGATGGCCAGTTTGTAATTCAGCATTAGACATAGCCATTTTTAGCACATTACCATTACTGTAATTCCAAGCTTGCCATTATGACTCCAAGATTTTAAAATCGTATTTTATTGAAGAATATGCTTTCAGATAAAGAAGACAGACCCTCTCCGTTAGGCTAACACACAGTGCACTTTTAGATCCCTGTAGATGCGATGACTTAAAGTCAGGATCTCTCAGAGTGAAAGTAGACAGATACTGTATTCGTCTCTCAAACTGGAAAAGGTGACAAAGGAAGAACAAAGCAAAGACACGTCAGAATACATTTGGTTTCACTTTTACTTTAAAATCCAAATTAGCCTCAACATTATAAAATAACAACACTTGAATAATTAAATAACGCATATAAATATGTCCATGCGTTTTACAACTGACTCCCAAAAACATATGATTTTTAAATCAATGATACATTGTCTTACATTTATGTAGAGTAGTACTTAATCATCTATTACTTTCAGTAGTTAATTAACTTTAACAGTATGTGAACAACTGCAAACGTATACTGAACATTTGTAAAATATGACGAGCTGTAGGCCACGTGCTCTTAAAGGCTTGGTATTAATATCCATTATTAATTTAAAACAACCCGCTTTCTGACTGGAGTTTGGCTTGTTAGGGGTTTGTTATTGAAGTGTTTGTTAGCCGAGTTCACTGCTATTAATTAGTTCTATAAACTGACTTAATTTAAAAAAGTGGGCACAATAAGCAATACGCTATTAAGTTGTTTTCTTAACATATAGAAAGACAGTAGATTCGATCATAAACTGTTTAATACCAGTACAACACAAGCCCGCGTTTCGTTTCTATTTTAACAAAATAAGAGTCCAAAGACCTAGGGATTAATTTCGGAGTTTTATAAAGCACAGCAAATAGATAGAACACAGCTGTCATCAACTTTGTATCAATAATTATCTAATTGTTGTATTTACCTTCAGTCCTGTCCCGGATAAATACAGGCTGGGTTAGAAGTAGAAGTTTTTACTCTTCGCGTGCAGTCGGACTCGGAGTCGGCGCATACTCTCTGCGATCCACTTCCTGCTTTCAGACAATCAGAGAGTAAATAACAGCTAATCGAGACAAGACAGATATTTTCAACAGTTTATTTGCTGTAACTCTATAAATAATTAATATATATCGCTGAAACTTGAACATGTTGTGTCTATAATGATAGAGTACTTCCTTGCTCACTCAAGTCTAAATTAGTTAAAAAAGGAAAGTCAAGACTTTAATTGTTCAGTTCGGAATGGGTTCATCTATTTTTTTATTTGGAGATACATGGGAATCAAAACCCAAATGCCATTCAAACTTCATAGCTGCTGTCATTCTGTCCCCACCAAGTCTCTGTCGGAGTGTTTTCTTCTTTAACTTTAGACGTCACTTCGGTAAAAAACCATATCCATATACTATATATAAAGGTAAAAACAGCTTGACTTAAAATAACAACATCTTGCACATGCGCACTAAACAAAACATTGGAGTGGTGATTAGTGTGGGAACTATCTTGAACAGTCTTGAACATAAGGAGGACAGCTTCTCACCAAAACTTGAACAAGTAAATAATCTAGCCTTCAGGCTTGCATAGCCAGACCTATCTCAAAAACTCTACAAGATAAATTAACTCTGGTAGCTCACAGCTAGGCTGTCCGTTACGTTAGCCATTGTAACCAGTTTTCACAGAATAATATTCTTGTTTTGCTTTTCACGTGCAGCTGCTGCCTAAAGACAGCACGAGTGGAGTTACGGGGATGGATGTAACAGTACAGCATAACGGGGAATTTTTTCGTACATTATGTTGTTTGCAAACTCATTTACTGTTCCCTTCTGATAGCTTGAGAACTGTGTAAACGCCAATGTGGATAAATATGAAAGACAAAACGTAATATTTCAGTCCACATAACTTGTTGTCACATCAGTGGGTTGTTTTGTGGACATGTAACGCAGTAGGCTTGTTTGAGACAAGCGAGACCTGCGCAGACCTGCGCAATTTCGATCAACGTCTTGCGAGTGCGTTGCATGATGGTTAGTCATTTTGTCCGACTTGCTCGGTTATGGCTAGAAAGGATCCGTCTAGTGTAAAACTCTCGCGAGAGTTTGCAAGTCACGTGGCTGAATGTTTACGTTTGGCAGGCAGCCTTTCAGTTATGATCGTTAACATCAGTGGGCCACAGCAAATGATGGTGAGAAGCTAAACTATCTATTAATTATGTCAATGACAGGGAGTGTTATTTTTTAAATAGAGTGTTAGCGGTCTTGCTGTTCAAAGAAGAATGACTGTAGATCACCAACACTATGGTTTACTTTTTATTCACAGGCAAGTCAACGTTGTCGCAGTAAAAGTCCCAAGATAGCTCCTGGTGCAATAAAATGTTCCCTTTCAGTGTTTTACTATTATCCTGCTGCTTTAATGTGTATGTTGCATCATGTTACTGCTGTAGATGT